GCTCATGCAAAACTGGTAAGTGATTGATCACCAGCCCCTCATAATATAGGAGCTGACTAGTCTTGGTCTAGCAATATTCACGAGTGGGCTGTTGGTCTGTTAGTCCTCAAGTGGGAGACGATTTCTGGTGCTGCGGAGGGCTGGGTGAGAAGCTTGTGGGGCAGAGGGCTCATCCGCTCCGGGAGATGCCCCAGGGCTGCCCACAGCCCTCCCGGAGAGCCAGGCTGGATGTTTGCTCTGCTCCGGCACAGCGTGGCCACCCTTGCTTGGCGAGCTGCTGAGGAAGCCGAGTATTTCAATACAGTTGCAGAAATGCCGTATCAATATTTAAAGCCAGCTGGGTAGCTTTGCTTTCAGGGAAGCAATCTTTCTGCATTTTTTATAATGTGAGCCAGGGTCTCCTTACCTGCCAGAATATATAATCATCCAAGAGACAATATCCGATAGCATTACCTACCTAAATGAGACATTACGGGAACATCTCCCCTCACAATAGCCTGCTGTATGACCAACAATGCTCCATTTAGAGAGGAACAAATTGTCAGCATCTGCTTTTAATTTAGTTTACTTTTAAGTTGACTGATACCTTTTAAGGTCTTTGGGAACAACAGGGTGTTTCTGTGGTTAAGGAAATGATAAACATGGAAGGCTGAGTAAGCACAATATGCCTTTTATACAACTGTTTAAGAACTTTATTTTGCTTTTGTTAGCCAACTTCCAAGTGAAAGAACTTGAAAAATCTTATAAGGCTTGAACTTATGTATCTGTAAAATAAGTATGTATTACTTCAGCTGCTCAGGATTGATTTAAAGGCTTCTGGAGTTGCTGGAAACCTTTTCCTTTTTGGGAAGTTGTCATGGTTTAAACCCAGCCGGCAACTAAGCACCACACAGCCGCTCGCCCAGACAAAACCAGTACAGAAGTGCTAGAAAGCTTAATGACAAATGAAGTAACATTTTAGGACAGGCACAGAACTAGAATTTGTTAACAACTCAAATTTTGAGTCATTTTTCTAGAGTTTTGAAAAATTTCCAGAGAACATTTTAGTGCCATCTCTGCTAAATAGGTTGGATAACACCAGTTTCTGTGGAAGGTAAATCTTATAGGACTTCTTCCCAAAGGGAATGGAACTGGTTTCTTAAAAAGCACCCAAAAAGGGCTTTTTTTTACTGTGGGCACATCCTGAAATGCAGTGAGCCAGCAGAGTGCTGTTGCTGTGAGCAGGACGATCCCCACGCCGGGCTCCTCAGGGAGAGCATGGCCAGCAGACTTTACCCAGGACCATGTCTGGCTCAGGAGGCCCCTGGCTCCCGAAGGCTGGGGGGGACCTGGTGGAGACTGCCCGGGTGGCCAGAGGCTGAAGGAATCCAGGTCCAGGAGGGGTGGCAAAAGCCGGGCTGGTCCTGGCTGGCCAAGAGGGGACTCAAGAGCAGCCTGGGAGTGTCTGGAGGGCAGGTAGGAAAGTGGTGGATCCAACCTCTCCCGGGGAGTGGCAGGTGGTAAGGCAGGGGACACTGGCCACAGCTTGGAGCCTGGGAGCTTTGGGGTGGACATTGGGAAAAGCTTTTTCAGCAGAGGGTGGTGCAGCATGGGAAGAGGCTGCCCGGAGGCTGGGGGAGTCTCCAGCCTTGGGGATCTGCAAGACTCAGGTGGGAAAACTCATCTAGGGCTGGTGACAGACCTGCTGTGAGTGGGAGACTGGGCTAGAGACTTCCAGAGGTCCCTTTTCCCTGACTCTGTGAAGCTCTTCATCCAGCCCCCTGATCCCTCTGCAACTGCTTGCAAGTTGCCTTTCCCTGTGAGACACACACATCCTCCGTGCAGGGCACGGGTGAGCGATTACTCTTCTTTTCAATGCAATGGCTTTAAAATCCCGCTTGTCTTTAGAGGGCTTTTTTCCTCTTTGCCTGCCTCTCTCTCCAAACAAGGATATGTTTGCGCTTCTAAAGTGGCTGCTGTTATTAGTGCTGTAATCTCCGTATCCGCTTTTACTTTTCAAATCAGAGAGGGAAATTAATTCAATTCTAGTATCTGCTCCTTGCATACATTTTCCCGAAACACCATTTGCTCAGCAAACAAATGAATCAGGAAAAGTCATAACTTTGTTCTCATCTTAAGGGTGATCAAGTCCCCGAATTTCTACAAATCTCTTGGAGAATGGAAGTTCCTGCCGGACAGGGCAACCCAAAGAGCTGGAGCACTGCATGTGGGAGGAGGAGGAGTGATGGACCGGCCAGCTCAGCTCTAACACGGCTGGGTTGGTGAAGGCGCTGATGCTCCAAGGCCACATCCAGCAGGAACTGCGCTGCAATTTGCTCGGGCAAGCCCACGTGGCTGCGGGTTTGCCGTCAAGGTGAGCACACACATGACTTCACCTACGCTGGCTGAAGCTGTCTGATGTTTACAGCTTTAGTGAGCTGGACCTTTTTTTCTGCTACTATCCATCTAAATACCTCGTTTTGTACAAGTCCAGTTTAAGTGCACTGCTTTGCACGTGTTTATATGTTGTTTTTTAAGAACTGTCCTCCTTATTCATTGCAAAACAAAGCCTGCTTGCAAGCGGGAAGCTGCTACAGATGTTTCCATGAGAAGGTTGCAGCTCTTCTTTCTGGTTAAGCTCCGCAGACACATATCTAATTACAGCTTTGTGGCTGGCATGAGGTTATAGAGGGAGGAAAGTGTGCGCTGAAAATCAGTTTAAATGATTTGAGGGCAGTGACTTAGTGCTGGGGGTGCTGCCTTTGCACTGAGGCAGGAAGAAAAATGCTAGCGGCACGCACAGGGACCATGGGGAATAAAAATGCCGAGGAAGTCCTGAAGCTGAGGAAGCAGTCGGTGCATTCCCTGGGGAGCAGGGAGAGAGCCCTGAAGAGCTCCTCAGAAAATGCGAAGGAGAGCCGAGCCCGGGCCAGCCAGCCGCAGCAGCATGCCTGGCGGCTGGCTCTGCTGCGGGAGCTGGAGATGAACTGGTACCTGCGGGTCTGTGAGCTCTCCCACGAGTACACCATCGCCTACACCACTGGGATGCCCCACAGGTATGTACCCCACTGGCTATTCAGACAGTAGCAATTTGCACTCCAGGAAATGATGGTGGTGGTGATGATGATAATGATGATGATGATAATAATAATAATAATAGAAAACTTTTTGGCTTTACGAGTCTGACTTTTCTGATTATTCTTTTTTTTTTTTTCCTGCACCGCTACGGATGTGCGTTACAGAGCTGAAAATTCTGCAAACTTGTTTCTTAGTTTCCATAACTACTTCAGCACAAAATGCATGTGGTTATTCAGCCTTATTTCTCACAAGCTGTTTTGTCCAAGTGACTGTAGTTTCATTTGATTTTAGTTGAAAAGTTGCTGCTATTGTGCAGGGGCTGTGTGGGTGACAGGAGAAAATGGCAGGACAGCCTTTGCTGGGTGCCGCTGGCCCTGGGTCCCTGTCTCCCCCTTCCCTCCCTGGACCCGGGCAACGGTGGTGGGTCAGCCTGGGAAGGAACCTCTCAGGAGGGGATACCTGCAGCTGCTGAATTTGTCATTCTATCAATTTTAAATGTCACAGCCTCCAGAATCTGATCTTGCTCCTTTAAAAAAATATAAGGGGATCTTGGTATTAGTGGAAATTAGACATGCGAGACTCTAATCTCCTGTGCTGAGTAAGACCCTAATGAAATAGGAACCTAAATATGAATTGCCTGGCGTTGCTGCCTCAGTGCCACTGTCCCCAAACAGCAGCATCGTGGGGACAGGCGGCCGTGCTCGCTCAGGGCAGTTTCAGGGACTGGCTGGGGGAGGATATTTGGTTTCATTCACCTCAAGGGACAGGGCTGCTACCAAAGCGGCTTTTCAGCGTTTTGCCCAGCTCTACACAAATACATCAGTAACAGCAGGGATTTCAGCTGAGAAGTCGGTTGAGATCTTCCCTAATCCCGGGCAGAATGGGGATGCCTGAAGTGCCTGGCACAAACTGAGGTCTTGCAGATGCGCTAGGATTAGAAATTAATAAAAATGTCATTAGAATAAAAATTAGAAACAGGATAACTGAAAGGAAAATGAGGTAAAACTGAGGGATGGAGCAAGTAGTTATTAAGTGCAGAAAGGTCTAATAAGCACAGTGAAGGGAATACGAGTGGGTCTCTAGACTAAGACCAGACAGTTTCTAAGGTAGAGTGCTCCCCAGCCCCCCCAGCCTGTGGTCAGACACCTGTGGTCTTAAATGGCGCTATAAAAACAAAGTCCTGGGGAATAACTTTTGGGAGAACTAAGTTTCTAATGATGCTGATCCATACAAGCCCCTAAAACTCCAAACCAGTGAAACTCTTATGTCCAAAAAATTGAGAAGACCTTGCGGAAATATTTCTTTGCCATTGGTTCACCTTGCATTATAGATGAGCACAGAGCTGGATCTGACAGGAGGTAAAACAAAAGGCAGCTGCAGCAGAGATCACAGCTACAGCCTTTGGTGTTACACTGCTGGGAGGAAAAAATACGGTTCCTACAAAGCAGGCATGGCTGCAGTCACAGGGCACGTTTCCCTCCATTGAGTGTACTGTTGCAAAAAGCAGAGCTTGAAAGCACTGCCTGCACTCCACCATTGATGGTTCAGCTCGGTCAGCACCATGAGAACAGGATGCCCCACCTTCGGGCAGCAGTGTGTCAGAGTACCACAGAGCTGGGGGGGCCCCTGGGGCAGCAGGGCAGGACCCCACCCACCATCCCAGCCTGGGACATCAGGGACATTGAGGTCCATTAGTTCCCTCGGGGCCCTGATAGAACAGTTGCAGAGAAAGAATAACTGGGTAATCCAAATGTCCATGCCAAACCCCCCTCTGTGACATTGAATTATCATCTTTTAAAATATATTCTGGGTTTGAGATCAGTCTTTGTTTATCTGCTTTGAAAGATTTAAGGATTAGTTGAGTTTATGATACACCCATCACTTGATTATGTCCTCATGGAGGACTTCAACCACCCCAACATCTGTTGGAGGGACAACACGGCAGGGCATAAGCAATCCGGGAGGTTCCTGGAATGCGTCAATAACTTCCTTCTCCAAGTGGTAGAGGAGCCAACGAGGAGAGGTGCTATGCTGGACCTTGTTCTCACCAGCAAGGAGGGGCTGGTGGGGAATGTGAAGCTCAAGGGCAGCCTAGGCTGCAGTGACCATGAAATGGTGGAGTTCAAGATCCTTAGGGCACCGAGGAGGGTGCACAGCAAGCTCACTACACCCTGGACTTCAGGAGAGGACCCTTTGGCCTCTTCAGGGATCTGCTTGGTAGAGTGCCATGGCACAAAGCCCTGGAGGGAAGAGGGGCCCAAGAAAGCTGGGTAATATTCAAGGATCACCTCCTCCAAGCTCAGGAGCGATGCATCCCAACAAAGAGGACGTCCGGCAAAAACGCCAGGAGGCCTGCATGGATGAACAAGGAGCTCCTGGACAAACTCAAACACAAAAAGGAAGCCTACAGAGGGTGGAAGCAAGGACAGGTAGCCTGGGCGGAATGCAGAGCAATTGTCCAAGCAGCCAGGGATCAGGTTAGGAAAGCTAAAGC